ACACAGCACCAGACACTGACAGAAAACACTTGCTGTCATGTGTTGATCTGTGAGGTTTTACACTGAATGAAGATGAGTGGAGTTTGATCTGATGCAATGATTCAGAGAAGCTCTTCAGGACGAGGGAAAATGTCTCTGTGGTTTCTGCTTCCCATCAGTTTGCCTGTGTTCACACTGCCTGGAATCTGGATCATGTGAGTATTTATTAAGAGTGTATGTTAATCTGGCGATTTCAGTTCAATAAAACTTTGAATGCATTTAATTACAGAAGATGTGATTATTTTACTAAGAGTAAAGTACCTATTTCTGTTGCAGTGTTATTTTAGTATCATTGATATACTAGTTTTGTTTATATTTTAAATTAGATCATTTATATTTTCTGTTTTCATTTTAGTTAGTTTTTTTAATATTAGTTTATTTATGTTTTTCTCTATTCATGTCGAGTAATGAATATTTTTTACGGTTTAAGTTCTACCGTAGTTAACAATAATAGCTGATATATTGAGAAAAAAGTATATTATTTTGGTTTTAAAATTGTATTGTATATATTACTGAATATATTGTAACTTTGTCTTAGAGAATTGGCGTTTATCCATTTAATCATAATGTTTATATTTACTCCTTAAATGCGTTTGCAATGTGTTTTAATTTAATTTTAGCTTGAGTGGAGTTAAATACCTTTCAGAAATGTATCACTTTGTAAACAGTTTCTATGCAAATCTTTTTGCAAAACTCATTTAGTAGTAATTAAGAATCAGCTTTGCCCAGTTGACCTGAAAAGGTTTGTAAAGACATGTTGGATTTCTGAAAGTAGTCTGTACTCTTTTAACCTGTCTGTCTCTCTCTCTCTGTCTCACAGATATGCGATGGCCCTTTACAATCAGCACGTTTGTCCTGTGAATAACTGGTGAATATTGAACCCTCTCTCAGTGGAAAACAGAGCATGCTGTGATTGATTTATTCAGATATCAATAGAATCTCCTCAACAATAATTGAATAAGATTTAGCTGAAGTGTTTGATTAGATCACATTGATTTTGAGGTTGAAGAGGCTGTTTGACCGTCACGTCTCTGTGTTTGTTCAGATTGATCAGTCTGTTAAATGCCAAACTATACAGTTTTCTATCTCAAGAGTTTAGTTATCTCAATGTTAAAAATCAAAACCCTTGCAAAATCTTTGTTTTAACTTATTTTATGCATGCAGTCAGCAAATATGGTCACAGTATGTGTGTGTTTGTAGGGTATATAACTCAACCTGTGAGACGTCTTTGGTTCTTCAGAGCGGATCTGATCTGTGCTGCACGCTGGACAACATCCCACTCATCAGGTACCAAAACATCACATTTTATTAGAAGATGAGCAAAAGTTATATATTGTCAGACATGTTTTTGATCCTCCTGATGTGTATGCAGTAAATGCGGCGGTGTTCCTCCAGAGAGCTGCTGGTTCAGTCTACTGTGCAGCACTGCTTCATTCCTGGGTGAGTGATTCACTGATTCAGTTCTGAACTATAGAAACACTCATCTGACTCTACCAGCTCTTTCAGCATATTTAATCTGTTTTTGATTTACAGTGACTGTGATCGTTCTGTTTGTGTGTTACAGTGACTGTG